CCACAAAGCTCCTTCCCTGGCCTGCCAAGTGACCGGCTGCTCCTCCGATCCCTTTTCTACTTCCTTCTCTCACACCCAGCTTAACTATTGGGCGGGTGGGGTTTGCCTCTGCCCCCCACCTGGATTTGGAAGATTTTCCTTTCTGAAGGGGGCCCCAAGGTTACCCCTCCCTTTACCCTTTGATTCCCTTGGCAGAGCCACTTTTTATTACTAAATAAAGTGCCTGGCTCAGCCACCGAATCTGAGGTGTAGAAGAAAACACCTTAATACAGTTTGAAAAAAGTTTATTAAAAGTTAACAAATGTTTTGGTTCCCCTGCCTTCTAAGATTAGGCAGGTGGCACTGGCTACCCAGCAGACCACCTTCTCGGTCACAGTACCAAAACTCTGGAACTCTCTCCCCAGGGAAACTGATCAGTCCTCTTCTGTTCCCATCTTCTACCAGCAAATGAAGATTTTTTCATTTGGCATTCCCTCAGTGATCCTTCCTGCCCTGTCTTTTAATTATTATTTTTTATTGTGTAGTATATGTATTTTAGCTGGTTTTAATTGTTTTCATAATGTGTATTTTTGTTGGTTTTAATGTTTTTTAATTATGTATGTTCTTAATCTGTTAGCTGCCATGGTGACCCTGACGAAGGCAGTAAGATGGGGTATAAATCTTGTTAAATAATTAAATAACTAAGTAAAAGAAAAAGAGTACAAAAGAAATAATAGGGTAAGGCTACCAAGCAAAGACAAGTTCCATAATACACTCTTACTATACTTGTCTAAAACAAGGTGGCAGGGGGACACACCTCCCACTTGCAGCAGCCATCGTGATCACCATGTTAAGATATGGACTTGATATTTTGCTTTATGAACTATATTTGCTGCCACACACACAATGGACTGTGCACACACACACACACACAGAGGCTCAGAAAGCTGTACAAGTCATCTGTTGTGATAATACACATAGAAGGTGCCTGCATAAGCCTTACATGTGAATGAGGTTTCAGCTACACAGCATCAGCCTGGTGAAGGAAGAACACATCTCCATAGCTGTCAGCAAAAACAACAACTTGAGAAGAAGCAGCCCCCATTGCTGAATTGTTGACAATCACGTATGCCACATCTCTGCTTTATTTTGCATTGGCATTTCCTGCCAGATGGACCTTTTATGACCGAAGGAATGGCCAAGCTTCATCTACACTTCAAGGGTGCATCCTGAAGCCGAGTTTTCACACTTGCCCAGATGCCCTCCTTTGAGTTAGGTCTTAGGTTACAATATTGTCCAACCCTCTAGGTAACCACCCCTCACTACATGCAACCAATAGGATTAGTCTTGGGATGGACTAACAGGTAGGTGGGTCAAGAGGTTGGCACAGTTGCCACCCACCCAAAGAACCACCTACAAAAGGTAAGGACCAGTCGCCTGGTCCTTGCTAGCCAGCAATCCCCACAACACCCCCTGTCTGCTTTATACTCCTCTTTTGTCCAGCTTGCTGTACCCAAACCCTTGCTTCCACTTGATCTCTAGATCTGCAGTCAAGAGACCCACACGTACTGGCTGGTTCTAGTCATGTGTTAAACTTCCCTAGAGTTCTATTTCTCCCCATCCATTCTTCATTGGAACGAACAAAGCTTCAGTACAGATAAGTATCACCCATCATCAACCCTACCTGCTAATGCAAAAGTGCTTATTTTAATACTGTATTTCTAAGGAACTTGACTGAATGTGTGCATGTATCAGTATTGTTTGTATGTGATATATTTTCTTAAAGTAAAAGACAGTTATTTTAGCAACACCAGCCTCGACTCCTTTTACTGGAACCCTTGGTGGGAACAGGACCTTGGTATAGTTGGCAAGCACCCAGATTTAAATGTACCAATTGCTGTAGATAAAGCAATTCGGCTAACAACCAGTCCCAGAAAAGTGCACTCAGGGCCCTGGGGAGGGAGGTAGGGTTTTATTTGATATTCCCAAATTCCTACCTGATTTAGGATTGGTTGCCATTTGTTTAATAAACTGCAAAAGCCAATCCTGCATCCTGACTTCCCTAAAGCTCTGGACAGGAAGGGGTGGGTTATTTCCTCCTCCCCACAGGAAAAAGTCCCCTATTGAGCATATTTAAAAAACACCCTGAGGCCTAATAAGGCCACAGAAACACACAACTTTATAAAATGGGGGAAATGGGGAAAATGGCAATGAACATGTGGCCTCCAGTCCTCTAGGTTCATTAATGAAACTGGCTAAAATTCATGCAAATAAAAGACTTTTTTTAAGTTGCAGGTATGTGCATAACATAAAACATATACATCAACATCTAAGAATAGTTGTGAAGTACTTAGCACTGAACTTGGGAATGCAAAAAGACTCTCGTGTAAAAAAAAAGGTATTTGTTCCCACTTTGTAAACTGGCACTCTTTGAAATGAGACATTCCCTCTCTAAAAGCTTGAGTTAATACAGTTTATATAAAAACCAGAATCTGCTTCACAGTTAGTTGGGATACTCTATGATCAAAATATTTTAAATCAAGTAATCTGACTGAGTATATGATGCAGCTCTGCTTTTATTTCTAAAATCAAAAGCATGGATAAAGTCCTGAATCTAAGAACCAGTGCACACTAGACACAACAATCTCTGCCTAGTCCCATTTAGTAATTTCCCTGGATTTAGACTGTTTTCTAGTAAAAATAGAGAGTCCCTGAATGATAATTTTGTCCATGTGCAAAGAGGGAAAGATTCAGAAGCTAGAAATCCTAGGAGACTGAATCAATCAAGCCAAACTGAATTTTTGAAGCATGATTTTGAAGCTATGCCATTTGAAAGCAAAATATGCTTCTACATCTGGAATTTTCAAGATTTATCCTGATATTTTCATCCAAATCTTTCATAGTTATAACAGCTAAAATGAGTTTAAATATTAGATAACCAACAGAATTTGATAGCAGAGTTTAGGGAATGTGTGTGGCCCATAGATGTTTCCCATTCCTGATATATCTCAAAACATCATCATCACCTGAGATCTTGGTTACCAATACATATTAACCTGGAGTTCTGATTAGCACCATGGCAAGTACCTTGGGTCAGGGAATGGAACCCAAAATAAACATCCAATAAAACCAATGCAAACTCCTCCTCCTCCTCCATTGTTGTGATTTTAGCTGGATTATATTAATGCTTAATTTATTTTGTTCAGATTGCATTCATGTTCAAGGTGCTCACAGACAGAACATTTAATAATCTGTTCCAGAATTTTTCCAGGTATTGATGTCAAACTGAAAGGCTTGTAATTTCCTGGGTCCGTCTTTTTTCCCTTCTTGAAGATCGGGACAACATTTGCTGTTTTCCAGTCTTCCGGCACAACACCAGTACTCCAGGACATCTCAAAGATTAGAGCAGAGGCTCTGAAATAACATCTGCAATTTCTTTTAGCACCCTGGGATGCAAATCATCCGGCCCTGGAGATTTGAAAGTATTTAAGGCAACTAGATGCTCTCTAACCATTTCCTTACTTACTCTGGACTGGCAGTTCCTCCTTCCTTCATATGCCCTGCATTCTTCAGTTTGTATACAGCTCTCCTTATGGTTAAAGACCGACGCAAAGTAAGAACAGATAAAAGGAAGTACTTCTTCAC